AAAACCATTCAAAAATCGACAAAATTAACATATATACTCTCTCCTTTCAGTCTTGTCCTTGACAGTCCCTCTCCTCTCTCTCTCTCTCTCTCTCTCTCTCTCTCTCTCTCATCTTTGTTTGATGAACAACTTCTTTACCAAAGGAATCAAGTTTGAGTTCTAGCTAGAGGTTAGTTTTCAATTACTCTTAATTTCTGTTTTGTGCATGAGATGGATTATGTTCAATTTCTTCGTCATAATCGTGCTATGAATAATTTATTTTATCGTCAAGATTGATCTCATGAGGACTTTCAATTCTTAAAGATAGTGACAAATTAGCGCAGGAGATGTAGTGTCAAATGCAAGAATTATATGCATTCATTCCCTTCATTTTTAATCGGAGTTATGTTATTGTCTTGGTTGGTAGGCAAGTAAGTCAAGTTGATGAGTGATTTCGTAGATGAAATATCCGTTCATCCTTCAATCCGCTTCAATTAGAATTTAGAAAAATGAGTGGAGTGGGAAAAATTTCTTTGCTGGATAGTCACAATAAAGCAACCTTACTAAAGATAAGATTCTAGATGTCTAATGACTAGTTAATCGATTCTTAGTCGACGTGAGGAATACAACAATTCTTCTTATTAGAAATTAATCTTAAAAAACTTAAGGTTCGTCTGATAGGACGTTTACTTCTTGTAGAAAAGTTTCTTGATTAATTTATATTACCCTAACTTTATCTAAAAACCCTTCTAACCAAATAAAATACTTTTAGAAACTATTCAAACATTTCAAAAGTATTATAAGCTGTTTTTAACTTTTTAAAAACTCTACCGAATGGACCCTTGGTTGTTTAAATATACTTTCATCACTACACTTCTATTTGATTTTTTTTAACAATTTATGCCTAAACCTAAATTTCCCTTTTCAACGTGGAGGAAGAGAATTGGTGGAGTCATTATCCAAGGTTAAAAAAAAAAAAAAAAAGATAAAATAAGAAACCAATGCAAATAATTGAGCAATAATTGCAATGTGTAACAATTTGTGGGACCAATTGCTTTTTCGAATGAATACATTTTTATCCACTTCCTGAAAAAATGGCATTTGGACCAACAATTAAATTAGATTATGTAACCCTACCTTAGTCATAATTACAACTTTTGGTCTGCTAATGAAATAAAACCTTCAAAATCAAACAATAGTAAGAAACAACACAAACAATGGCTTGCCCACGTCCACGTGCACATGTTTTTATTTATATTTCTTCTCCAAGTTTCTTGCCAATTAACTTTGACCAATATTAAAATAAGAACAAGGTAGACCCAGCAACTTTACAAATTAAGTTGACTACTTCCCCCTAGTTACTCTATGGAACTCATAGGACATGTTTGGCAAAGCTTAAATTTTATTTGAGGTTCAAGAATGTGAGGAGCCAACGCTCAATAGTTTTTTTTTTTTTTTATGGAAGTGTCGTCACCGAGGATCAATGACGGAGGGAGGTGGGGCCAGTGGGGTCGTTAGAGCCCACTGAAATATTAGAAAAACAATTACTGGGATATTTCTTCTCTTTTTCGAGTTCTGAATTCGTCACTGTCGGTTGCTAATACTTTCTCGACGCAATCAAAATGAAATCAACTCTCAATAGCTCGTTTTACGTCAGCATAATCTATCCTCAATTTTATTTTATTTTTGTTTAATTGGGTAATTACAACAATTAATATGTTAACACGTTACATTAATTTAATGGGTTAATTATGTTTTCCTCCCACTTGCCACTACTCGTGGGGGTACACCGTGCATTATCGATTGACTAAAGAGTAATAAAATAGATTTGGACTGAAATGAAAATATTTTTGAAATGTACGTGCTCTTCCCGTACGTACTTGGTCAGGGCCATTTTGGTACAATGATTCTTCTCACGTGCACTGCAGCGTGTGCTTCATGGAAATTCTTTTTTTTTATTATTTATTTTTATTTTTTATATCCAGGTATCCCAACTTACACCAGACAATGTCCTGGACCACCCATTCTTCATTTAGATTTTTCGGCCACTCAAAAATGGTACGTAATTTGTAGTAAACGTCGTAAGAAAATTTTACATTAATTATAATTATCGCAACCCTTCTATATTATCGTGGATTGTGATCGATTACGATTAAATGTAGACGTAATTGAAATTTTGTGATAGAAAATATTTATTTTTGTTTGAAATCAAATAAATTGTAATAAATGGATGGTGGAATATCCATATACTAAGTCCAAAATGTAGAATTCAAGAAATCCACAATTAAAAACCAATGGGATTCTCATATTTGTACGTGCATGACGCATTCATGCTCTTGAATTATTCCTATATGATCTTTGGATCCCACGCCAACATTTGTGTTCAATAAATACATATAAAAGTTTTTATAAAAGATGTTGTGGAGCATCACATTAATTTCTCGTTCGAGATTATATTTAGGGGTTTATTGACAAAAAATTTCATAAGCGTTGTAGCAAATTTTGATAAATGCTGATGGCGTGTATAGTTGAAAAGCTGATAAAAATCGTGAATGTCATAGGTTAAAACTAATTATTAACTTTGGCCTCTATTTTTTAACCATTCTCAAGTAAGAATTAAATAATAATAATAATAATAATAATTATTATTATTATTATTATTGGTGATAAATTGCTTAAGTGGTATTATTTTTGAAGAGTTGGTTAACCTTTGAATTCTATTTTCTTCGTGCACAATGATATTATGCAATATTGTTGTAATGCATTTCTTCGATACATTTTGATCAAAGAAAATGAATCTATAAAATCATTACTGTCTAAATTTGAAATGACAAAGTTAGATGACAATATGGCCTTCGGTCATCATGAACTAAGAAATCAATCACGGAATGATTGAACTCGTCTCAACAAATTAGGGCGAGAACATCAATCGAATTTCCCTCATTCCGTCTTTGTAAAAAATTTGAAAATACAGGCAACATGTATACTACACAGAGAGAGACTAGAAACGAGACAAATACAGTAAAACTTGAATGTTTTGTATATTAATAATCTCATTTAAATAATAAAAAATTTCAATTATGACTTGAACAGTGTACTAAATTAATTTCGTCGAATGTTGTATTCAAAACCCAACGAAAATATAAAACACAATAATTAATAAAACACATAAAACCAGTGTTATGGAATTTTTCAATTGACAATAACTATTTTTCAATTCAATTTTTTCTTTTTCTTTTTATAAATATACATCTATAGATGTTTCCCTATTTTTTTGCAATGCATATACTATGTATATTTCATTTCGTAGAAATTAATTATTTAAGTTAATAATTTAAAAGATATTCGATATTCATAATATTTTTATAACATTGATTTAGAAATTATTTCACTTAATATATTAATAAATAATTCTTTTATTGATAATATTATTATCTTACTGAGTTATTACTCGAGGCAAAAAAGAAAAATACTATTCATCCCCAGTGAGGATGTATCCTCAGTCTATGTGGATGTAAATGATTGGTTAATAACCCATTAACACCACATAAAGACTGAGGATGCATCCCAGTAGGGATGAATAGCATTTCTCGTCTAAAAATGGCAGCCGGCCGTCACTTTTATTCCGCAGGGTTGTAAACGGCACAGCCTGTAATGCATCTTCCCCTGCATTGTGTCTGCTTATCTATATTGTCTGCTCATTAATATTCTCAATAAATTATTTTTATTATTACATATATGCGATACCATCAATGATTTTCAAAAGTTAATTCTTTCTCCAATTATGATCTAACATGCACAACAAATTTCCCCCTTTTTTTTATTTCCCATTTTCTTGTATTCTTGAATTGCCTAAATTGAAGTTACATGTGCTTCCATGTTCGGTATCTTGAATTAATCTTGTCTATTTTAGAATTACCTGAAGTTTCAATGTGTTTTTAACAGCATTTGTGGGGAACCCTTTGACTTGGTAAAGAGAATTTAACTTTGGATTGCTGTCGGGAAATTTATAGTGTATAGGCATCTGTATTGCAGCAGCATTTTCTGGGTTGCGCCGCCAATGCGCTGCTGAAATCCCCCCCATAACCACCACTGAGTTCGCAGATCTCGAGGCCAATTAAATATAGCTCAAGCCTAGGTTACAAAACGGGCCGATTCGGCCCTTGATAGTGAGGTAGCTAACTTCTATATAATAGTATACTTATTTATTGTTGTGAAATTGGATTTTCTTCTACTTGTTTATATGAAAGAGTGGTTTTTACTTTTCTTCAGCTTTACACCATTGCCAAGTAAGAATACGGAGAATTTCGAAGAGTATCGACTCTTTGGAGAGGTGTTGGTTCATTTATATATCAGTTTAAAGGGACTTTTGACTGTTGAGAGATGATACAGAGGCGACAATTAAAGGGGGGTCGGTGATATGGTTGGGATTTGCTGTTTAACTTTGATAAACTCAAGGTACACTGAAAGCATTTCAACCCCTTTGGTCTGTCCGTTTGCATTCGTTTTGGATTATTTTATAGCTTCTTGCTGTGTTGGGATATGAAAGTATCTTATGTAGTATGGAATATGAGATTGGTACCTAGTACATAGACATGCTTGTTGGATTATACACTTATATTAAATCAAGTTTTTCCAGAATTGCGTACTTTGGGCTTATTGCCGGGTTTGGCGTAATTTAGGAGGTGAGACTCCATAAGTGATTGTGGATATTTGAGTTGTAAAATAATTGGAAAAGATATTGGGTAGGGAGAGGAGAGTTTATGATTTAATGTTGAATTCTGGTCCCAACGGCTTTATAAGACATGCCAATTGTTGATGAAAGAGAAGAAGTTTTCTTTGATACTGTAAATTACTTGTCATCCGAGGAGTCTGTTGTAGTGGAAAAAAATCTGGTGTGTCGTGATATAGGGTATGAGATTTGGTTGAGTGCGCCACAGAGTGTCAAGGAAAGAAGGGAAAATTTCTTGCACAGAATGGGTTTTGGTGATCGAGCATCCCTTGGTGAACCAGAGGGAATGGGGTTGGAAAGGGTTATGGAATCTAGTGGATCTGCTTCCAGTTCGTGCATATTATCTACTTGTAGCACAGGTGACAATACAGAGTGTGACAGACAGGAATTGACTGGTGAAGCAAATTGTTCAGTTGAAGATTCTGACCACGATTGGTTGGATGATATGACCATTGATGTGGAGAGGGAAATCAATGAGAATTACCTCTCTGTGGAAAAATGTAATAATGGGGAAGTGCAGGTTTGTCTACAAGATTGCAGGTGTGTGGATAAGAAAGAGAAGAAAATGATGAGCTGGTGGAAACACTTCACACAGACAATGAGGAAAAGCCGAGGTACCAAATTATCAAAGGAACTAAAATTAGGTACTAAAGCAGGAAATACCACTTGGGTGAAGATGAAACAAAATAAGAAGCGGTGCATGGAGTGCTCTACTGTCTATGTTGGACAAGAAATTAGCGCACATCATGGTCGAATCAGGACAATGAAGTTTAGTCCCGATGGCCAATATTTGGCTAGTGGAGGTGAAGATGGGGTTGTTTGCATATGGCGTGTTAGTTCCATAGATGCGTCTTGCGATACTGCAGAATGCAAGTTTGGTTGCCAGGACATGGAAGGTCCATCCAGTTCTCAGAGGAAAAAATCAAGTCACCCGTCTGTCATCATTCCTGAAAGGATTTTCCATATTGAAGAGGAGCCATTGCACATGTTTCATGGCCATACCAGTGACATTTTAGACATTGCATGGTCCACGACTAATGTAAGTAAAAGAGCTGCTAATTAACTGTTCTACACGGGTACATCTTATTAGTAGCTGAAATAGATTTTTGACTGCAGCATCTTCTTTCATCATCAATGGACAAAACTGTTCGATTATGGCGAGTAGGCTCTGATGAATGTCTTGGCGTTTTCCAACACAGCAATTATGGTATTAGAAAATTGCATTTTACAGATTCTTTGATTTTTGTAATTGCTTTATGATTTTTATGCTATGGGGCCTACCATAACTCCAGCCCCCTTCACAATCTAAAACCAAAAAGAATGTCTTATTTTCATAATGCTCAAAACTAATGTACCTTTTTTGCCCTTTGGATGATTCAGTAACATGTGTTCAGTTTAATCCTGGGGATGAGAACTACTTCATCAGTGGCTCCATAGATGGTAAAGTTCGAATATTTGGAGTAACCAAGAAGAGAGTTGTTCATTGGGCTAATGCGCGAGATGTTGTAACGGCAATATGTTACAAGCCAAATGGAAAAGTAAGATTTATTATGTTAATGCTGTTCTTGATATCTATTGGATTTTACCACTGTTTCTGAACTAATAGTACACGGTTCTACTTGTTACAATGGAAACAGGGTTTTGTCGTTGGCTGTCTATCTGGTACCTGCCGTTTCTATGAAACATCAGGTATGGAATTTGCTCATGCGTGGACTTTTTTTTAGCATATTTTGAAATATCTGTCCATGTTCTCGTTGGGAGCTTCTAAACCATTTTCTTATTGTGCACAGGTGACGAACTTGAGCTAAAAGCAGAGATAAACATTCAGGGTAGAAAGAAGTCATCCGGCAACAAAATCACTGGCATTCAGGTTTCACTCTTAAAGTCTAGGTGTTAAAACATTTTATCCGCCATTTTCAGTGAAGTTGACATGGGTTTCATTATTTGCAGTTTCTGAAAAATTACTCTCAGAGAGTGATGATAACATCAGAGGACTCCAAAATTCGGATACTTGATGGGCTTGAGGTTGTTCATAAATACCGAGGTATAGATACAGCTCAATTTTGTAGTTTTGAGCTATGCTTATCAAGCTTTGCTGTTTTATCCTTGAAATTGCCTTCCATATTACACAATAAATGCAATAACTATATCTCATATTCCTTATCTTCATTTATCAGCATCACTTTTTCCATTGTCTGATGATATAGTTTTACATTATAGACTAGAACAATCAATATTTTGATAAAGAAATGAATCTTGTCAGGCCATACAGAACTAGTTGATTTTGGGGTTTTTTTGAACCTAATGTAGTCACCAGATCCCTTTTATTGGCATCAAGAATTAAAATAACATTTCACAATTCCGAGTACAAACTTTTGCAGTCTCTAATGAGCAACAAAGTTTGTTTTACTAGTTCAGGCTCTCTGCTTGGTTTATCTCTTATGTAGATTAAAAATCGATACAAAGACTTTCCTTTTCAGTATGTCGGTGTTGTTCTATGCCTATGATCTCGTTTTCACTGTCTTCTCTACAATTTTCTTTACTTTTTGTCTACTGTGTAAGTTCATAAATTTAATTTAACTCGTAAAACTTTTTTTGCATGTATTTACTATTTACAATACCTTTGACACTTAAATTTATTATGTTTATCGGATCACTTTAGTTTCTTATAAATGATTTCTCTTTACCATAATAGGTCTAGCGAAGTCAGGAAGTCAGATGTCAGCTTCTTTTACTTCCAGTGGGAGACACATAATATCAGTTGGGGAGGACTCGCGTATTTATTTGTGGAATTATGATGATTTGTCCATCCAGACATCCAAACAAGCCAAATCCATCCGTTCCTGCGAGCATCTCTTCTTTGAGGGTGTGTCTATTGCACTAACTTGGTCGGATTCGGTGACAGAACAAAATAGTTTTGCTTGTGGCAGTTCCCAATCTGACGTTCAAACTCTTGATCACCAAGAAGTGTCCTCAAGGTTTTGGGATTCAGAACGTTTCTCCCTTGCTAATTGGTTCTCCGCAGATGGCTCATTCCGAACCTCTACGACATGGCCTGAAGAAATACTTCCTTCGTGGGAGTTGCAATCTGTTGAAAATGATTGTCAGCCATGTAGTAATTGTGGTGATCATCTTCATCAGCACCCGCAACACAAGAATAACAGCTATGGATCCAGAATTCTATCTGCAACTTGGGGTCTTGTGATTGTTACTGCTGGTTTGGATGGAATGATCAGGACATTCAACAATTATGGATTGCCAGTCAGGTTTTAGGAGTTAAATAATTCGCCATATCGACACTTTTTATAAGAATCAGAAAATTTTGAATTGACAGAAGTCACACGTCCAGGCGAAAATTTGCAGCAGAAATTGTTATTTTTAAGCCCTTGTAAGTATACTATTGTTTTCCAAACTGTTAGATTTCAGTTTCAGCAGAAGGTCAAGACTCTTCGCCTCTTTTTCTCTTTTCCCTCCGTAGTTATTCATATTAAACTAGTTCAGGAAACAACATGATGTACAGACTTTTTGTTCAATTCATTTTGTCAAATGGATCACACTTATAAATGTAAATGGCATTGTTAGCACAGAAATGGCAGAATTTACTGCTTAAATAAAATTGGATTCTTGCATGCCAATGTGTATGGTTCAATCGTTCCTTGATCTTTGGTCGAAGTAAACCTCATCTCTCGGAGCTCCAAGAAACAACGCACTATAGCTAGGTTGTATATTGACGTTGATGAATAGTGTGTTGAATCTACAAACATTCGTCACAATAACCCGTTACTGGATTATATGTTACTCCCCTATCTATTGTGACAATGTGCTTGAATTTTTCAATATTGCTTGTGAAAGATTAAGGGTTGGACGAGAATATAATCACATGTTAGTATATTTCAACATTGCATGGTAGTGGAGGTGCTTTGCGCTGTGTTGTCACAATGCAGTATGAGTTGAGATCTCATGTCCTAACTCCTGTCTCTTCCACTATCTTTCCCATTAAATGTTGACAAATTATTTTTATTTTATACATTATCCAAACTTTGCAAGAACTAGTTCTTTATGTTACGAGGGTCGCTCGACCCGAACCGTGAGTCCTCCAAAAAAGGTCTAGAACGCACGAAGTAAATTGCTATGCATTTGGATCGACTTCTTGAGACCAATCCTTATGAGGTATAATTTATATGTTTGTATGTTTGTGAATGTTAAGCCTTAGTTTTTCTTTTTCATTTTTTATTCTAATTAGTACAATTTTGTACTTTTTTGCAGGATAGGTTTCTTGTTAGATTTTGTTGATATGATTTTTCATTTGAAGTAAGGGAAGGACTAAGAACGTTATATGGTTAAAAAGTTCGAATTGAATGACTTTTTCACAAACCGAAATATGACATAACATTATCATTTCTAATATTTGGATTCATCAATCATCTCTCTCACAACCGAGTACATGAGTGACTTAGCAGGAAGCGTAAACAAGAATGACACTATCTTGAGCAATAATTCACACACAAATTAAAGCCAAGATGCAAAACAATTATCGAAAAGCACACAGGCAGCGAGAATTATGCAATAGGAACTCAATCAACTTTGGGTATCAGAATTCGACACCTTTTCACTTTTCCATCTTTCCGGGTGTGATAATTTTTTCGGTCAACGTCACCACAAATCAAACATATTGCATGGCCAAGGATGGCATTGATATAAAAACATTACACAGGCAAACAAGTAATAGTTAGGAATACAGATAACAAACAAAATTGAATCACTTATATATCTTTAGTATCTACTCATTATCAAAAGGTAACCTCTGAAATCCTTAAATATGTCTCAAAACGAAATTTCTCAAACTAGCCATATACTAAGAAACCAAATTATGATCATACTCGTGTCTTCAAATCCTATAAACCAAACTAAAAAGTTACAAAATAGGTTCTAAGAGACTTCAGAATTAAGACTAAATCATTGCTAGAAATTTAGAGTGTGTTTGATGAATATTATTGAGGAAAGAATGTATTTTAAATAATGATATGATGGGAAAAAATAAGAAGAGGGGAAGAAAGACGGCTGCTGACAGAAAGAGAGGAGAAAAAGAAAAAGAAAAAAAAAGAGGCAGAGAAATTGGAGTAGGGAAAAGTAAAAAAAGGCAGTTGAGGAGGAGGAAAAATACACATACACGCAGAGAGAGAAAATAAGGTAGAATTAGCTGGCATACACGCATAGAAAATGCACGCATACGCGCACAAAGAAAGTTTTTGGGCAGACACGAGCAGTTTCACGTTTCATCAATTTTTGATAACATCGTTCCACTTTTGCGTATTTTATTTTTATAATATGAATAACTAATTTTCATATTAAGGAAAACAATGTAGTCGACTTGTGATACTTTATTTTTTCCATTCAAGATTTCTGCAATTTATTTATTTATGTGTGAATTTTACTATGAGTTTAATGCATTAAATGAATTGATCACTAATTTGATGATTATTTGAATCTCTTATGAATCGAGAGATGAGGTTGAGATTTAGACCATATAGTAAAATTCGATAAATTAATATAACGTGTAGAAATACATATACTAATTATTGCGGTCGGAATATGAATTTTTAGAACTAGTGTTTCGTTTAACTAAAATTGATTCACATAAAAATATGAAATTTATTTAGTTGAATAGGCTCAATGAGAACTCGATTGGAGGTAAATTGAATATAATAGAAGAGTTCGATCGAACACTACATTAGGTTGTTAATCTTGAATTAAGAATTAAGGTGATCAAAAGATGAAATTTTCATGTCCTAATATTCATCACATATTTGAATCTTCAATCAACCGTTGTTTGTAATCTTTTTATATTTTCAATTAGTTAAAAGTAGTTAGGAAAAAATAATCACAACCATAAATATTTACTTAATCTTGTCAAATAGGAATTAAAAAATTTTGGTTNTTAGTTAAAAGTAATTAGGAAAAATAATTACAACCATCGTAATTATTTACTTGCTTTTATCAAACAGGAGTTAAAAAAAATTGATTAATTCCTGAAATATAATCTTTGTGGGAACGATATCCGGACTCAAAGGTCCATCTACTGCTTGTTACTATATCGTACACCTGTGATATAGAAAACATAACAAGTTTTTGACACTGTTTTCAGGGACTATTTACTTTTAGTCTTAGTTTATTTTATTTTTAAATGTTATTTGATTTGATTTTCTTCGATTACCAAAAAAAAGTGTTCGTTGTATGTTCCATACCCAAAGCGACGATCTTGAACTGTTTGACTTGGAAATGGAACATACTTTGAGACGAAAACGCAAGGAACACAAAAAAAATAACATCAAATGGCTGACGATCAAAATATTCTTATTCAGCCAATTAGACAGGTGGCCATAAGAGTAGCGGTGCCACCGGATCAGCAGCAGGAGGGAGGGAAAATAAACGAAGGAGAGTTGCTAGTTTCAATGTTATTGAGGCCCATAGCCGCGCATGCGCGCTCTAGTATTGTATATCCAGATTTTAGGGTAAATAATTTTCAAATAACAGCAGAGTAGATCAATAAGATGAGCAACACTCTCCAATTCTACGGGCTACCCCATGAAAACCCGAAAACACATATCTCCAAATTTCTCAGAAATTGTCAGAACTTCCATGATTCAGAGGTTTATGAAGGCACTATTAAGTTGCAATTATTTTTATATACACTGAGAGATGCTGTATTGGAGTGGTTAGACGATGGACCTCATGGAAGCGTTACTACATAGGAAGAACTGACCAGAAAATTCTGCAACAAATTCTTCCCACCAACGAAAGCAGCGAAAATCATATGGAAATCCAAACTTTCCAACAGAAAGATGGAGAGAGCTATCACGAGGCATGAAATAGATTCAAAGAGTTGATGCGAAAGTGTCCAAATCATTGAATCATAATAGGTAATCAAGTGTTGTACTTTTACACCGGACTTTCACCACTGTCAAAATCTCATGTGAATTCCTCTGCTGGTGGATCGATCATAGGAAAATTAGTACAACAAACCATGAATTTATTTGAGTTAATTGTCACAACACATTCAATGTTTTCATCAGAAAGAATGGTACCACAGGGAGCATCTGGGATGTATGAATTAGATAGGACATCATCTACCAACACGCAAATAGCAGATTTGATAAAGTAGTAGAGTTATTGGTGAAATCACAAACAAAAGGAACACATGCAGTGATGGGTGGTCCATC